TTTTATACAATGTGATGCTGAAGAAGCACAAATGCTGAGCGTCTAAAATATACACATTTCTTTGTAGAAGCTCCAGATCATTGTTCTGTAAGTCATTCTTCATGAAAAGCTATATCATCATTAATACATCACAAGTTTTAAAAGGCAGTTATTGAAACATGGGCTGTCACTTGCAGTGATATATAATGAGAAAGAATGTGGCAGGTCTTTTTTCTCTTTGATTTCTCACATTTTCTGTTAATCCCTTTTTACAGAACTGACAACTTTCATGTGTGTAAATTAACAGCATCACAGTACTTATAATGCCACTTCCTTTTAGGCAGCTAAGAAATCATCAGCTCTTAAATAAAGATGAAACTAGTTAGTATTAAGTTATTTGTGATTAACATTTGGTTTCCTGACCTGTAACTATGTCTGCAGGACACAGACAGATCCAACCTTTCATCCTTTTTCAGCTTTGCTTTCCTGTCCCTGCAGGATGCTGCTGCTGTCAGGCAGGCAGCATCCTGTGGTGAACTCATTTCTTTGTAACCCTTCACTGTTCAAAAGTAAGTCTCCTGGGCCATGACAATAAACACTGGTTGTGTTGTATTTTTTTTTTTTTTCCTAATTGGTTCAGTGGAGTGTTTTGTTTTCCATATAATCACAGAACAGTTTGGGTTGGAAGTGACCATTAAAAGTCATCTAGTCCAACACTCCTTGCTATAAGCAGGAACATCTTCAAATAGATCAAGTTCCTCAGAGCTCCATCCAACATGGTCTTGAATGTTTCCAGGGGTGGGGCATCTGCCACCTCTCTGGGCAACCAGTTCCAGTGTTTCACCACCCTCATCATAAAAAATTTCTTCCATATATCTAGTCTGAATCTAACATCTTTTAGTTTAAATCCATCACTCCTTGTCCTATCACAACAGGCCCTACTAAAATGTTTGTCCCCTTTGTTATGGCTTCATTACCCATCTCCATAAATGAGCATGGTATTTTTACAAACAGCTATCCAGACAAAGCTTCGCATAAAGCAGAATGCACTCGGTCTACCTGGGTTTATTACTTGTTATAGCACAAATATCCTGACTCACCTTTATCTAGATGTTGTAGGAGGGATTTTTCAGCTTTTTGTCCTCAGATTGTTTCCACAAATCTTGACCGGAGTATGCTCTCTGACTGTTGAAGTCAGACTCAGGGGCTCTCCCTCCTCCTCCTCACTGCAGTTTCCCTCCGAAGGAAATGCAAGCACTGAGGCAGGGTGCCCGGCAAGCACACCAGTCCCAGTCAGTGATGCCGCACCAGTCTGGCATGTGCAGGGGGACCAGGTACTGGGCACCATGAATGCACTTACCGGTAGGAACTGTCTGCATTTTAGGGGCTGGTAGTACCCTTATGTCTTGGGCCTCATCTTTTCCTTCTGAAAAAATGGGGGAAATAATACTATGCTTTGTATATAGTGGTGTTTAAAGACTTTAAAGTGTAGCATGTTCTTGATTATTGTGATAGTCTATCAAGTGCTATGCATGAGTTTCACATGGAACATTATGGTAGTTGTTAAGTAAGGTGAAACCATGAGCTTACTATTTTTAAATGAAATTCATATTTCTTGTTAACTGGAATTTACTTCTACGACAGAATTCTGCCTATGCTGTCCAATAATGATTCAAAATGCAGCCCTCATGAAGTTTAATACATTCCATTCTCAGACCTATGGAATAGAATGAAATTTACAAAATGATTGAAAGCTAGACTTGTGCAGAAAAATAAATATGCAATTCCAGAAGGGCATTGAGAATTTGAAATCAAACTTCTGACTAAAACAGGAAAAATGATTGATTCCAATTTTCCCCAAAGGAACACATTTTAGGTCAATTTTAATATGGCTTTCATAAATGTTGCATAAATTAATGCCTTTTAATTGTATGCCTTTTAAATATTTCAAAATGAAGAACAAACATTTCCAAACCAAAAGTAATCATTATTCCAAAAGTGTATCAAAATGAAATATTTTGACAGTGTCAGAATTTTTTTTAAATTCTGAAAAAAATTTCAACAGAAGCAGAAAGAAAATATATATCAGTGAGTAAAAGCTAGACATTGTAAGAGGCTTATGGTAAAAGGCATATATATGGTTTCTTTGTTTACCATAGTAAGGCTATTTGTTTTTGAACATTTCAGTGTATGATTTTATTAGGGCAATCTAAACAACTTGGTAACAGGCCTGTTTTTTTCACCTCCAGTGAGCACAGTGGCAAAATATCAATGGTATACAGGGAGGGCACAATTGTTCTTCCAACTATAATGAAGTGGCTAAATAGCAGCATGCATTCTTATTTCAAATATGAAGCTAATACTTATTTTGTCATCATTAATTTTAGCAACAACTTTGATGTTATCTTGGACACCTTCCCTCACACCACAAGGTTTCTGGATACACTTATATTCAACAAGAAAGCATTGATTTTTTTAGCCTCTACAGGCCTTCACATTTTGAACTGTGAGAAGCATTCTAGAATAATCATTTTTGTGCAGTGCTATCTAAATAGGATTAAACCTTGGTTTTACTATTATGAACAGTGATTGCTCACGACTATCATATAATATTTTGAGCATTGAATCATGGCTGTGTGTAAATTATCAGTGGATCGTATAACCACAGAATCATAGAACAGAATGGTTTGGGCTGGAAGGGATCCTCATTTAGTTTCAACCCCTGTGCCCTGGGCAGGCCTACATTCCACTAGATCAGGTTGCTCAAAGCCCCATTCAACCTGGCCTTAAAGTCATCTATAATTTCTGCAAGTTTTTTAAGCCAGTCTGTAATTTATTGTATTTTCTCTCTCTTACAAATGAATTAAATAGTAATATCATCTGTTTTGTCACAGTCCTTAAAGTAATATGAGTTATGTGGTCATCCCTATTTCATAGTGTAACTGGATATAGTCAACAACGGTATGATTTATTTCACGATGGAATTGTTTTGCAAAACAACATATAAGCTTAATGTATTTGCAACCTAAGAAATAAAATTGAAAAAATTGATAAATTGACCTTCTAATTTTCTCTTGTGTTTCTGCCACTGAACAGATACACAGAAGTCTGCTGAACTCACCAGAGGCCTGCCTAGATCTCACTGGGTTCCATAAAATAAGCATTCATATAACAAAAAAATAGAACTATGATTTAACAACATTTTTAAAATATGTCTTTACCTGTGATGGTGCAAAAGAATGGTGTATCCTTCCCAGCTGTATTGCTAGCATGATGCTAGCTAAATGCTGGCATTTTAAACAAATAATTTAGATGTGCCTGGGGGCAACACCATCAAGGACACCACCACTGACCTTTGGAATGTATTTAAGAGTAATGGATTAATTCAGTAAGACAGCTGTGTGTGAATATAATTGTGATTACATTTATCCTGATGGACAATTAACTTTGTTATAATTTTATTAGTGAGCATAATGAAATGTTCACAAGACTTAGCATTTACCCTATGTCTAACATTAGATTATCTGAAATCTGTTCTTGTCTGTCTTTACAAAATTTTAGTATTTTTTCAAAACAAAGCCAACCTTATTATCACATTTAAAATAAAGTTCAACTATACAGTGAAAGGAAGAAAATACCATTTTTCACTTTCACAACAGAATAAACATGTCTAACTTCAAGAAAATGGGGCATCATAGTTATTTTTAGAATTCTTTTTTATTTTCTTTTTACATTCATGAATTTAAAATAACCAGAAATTTTTTGCTGCAAAAAATCAGTTCATCTTAAAGTAAGAGGAATTGTTGTTTTTATTTTACAGCTGATTTTGCAAATTAAGGGCTGATATGTCAATTTGTCATCCAAAATCTGTTATCACAACTTTTATATTTCTTATGATATATTTTGATAATGTGCATTTGCATGTTAAATTGAAAACTTCCATGTTATTGAAGCAGGTGTTTTTTTATAAACTATAAGCCAGATTCATAAAATGAAATTGCATCCATGGATTTCTTTGTCCATAATACCTCCCCCTATTTTTTACCCATATAGATTGATGAGTCATTGCAAGTGTACATTAAAAATCTAATTAGGGATCAATGAGAAAATTGTCAGATAATTATTCCCTGAAATCTCGTAATTTGCCTTATAGGTGTTTGTGCTATATGCAGTTCACTGCTTTTCAACACCATTTTCAGAACTAAAGTTTTACTTTCAATTACTAATAAATTTAAATAAAATAAAATAAAATTTTCAGAAACATTTTAGCAGACAAAGCACTGAAGAATAAGGATAAGACCTGTAAATTTAATAGCATAGTAAACTTAAGAGAGTTTTGTTTTTTGCAAATTTTTTTTATATTACTATTAGATGCAATTCCATAGGTTTATTTGATTTCAGAATTATTTTAGGGTTTTGAAGGTTCGAGACATTTGGGAGTTTTGTTTCCTAGAATATGAGAGAAATTGTGATATCTCACTTTATATTTTTGTTGGGTCTTTCAGGATTTTTGGTTGTTTGGTTGTTTTTTTGGATTTGTTTTCTGTTTTGTTTTGTAATACCACTGTTCAAGTTTGTAGTAGAAATTAATGAAAAATATGCTTTCCTGCTGTGTTGATTTGTTCATCTTTATGGAACAGGCTCATATGTTATTTTTTTTTTTCCATTGGCAAGAAACTGCAATTTAAGCTGAGGAAACCACAGAAAGCTCTGTCTGAATTGTCATTTCAATATCTCAGAGTTCAAGTACATTCTAAATTCTCTTGTTGACTTCCACACATGACATGAAATAGATGTTTTTCATAGTTGCTTTAAATTCTATCCTTTAATTAAGTAGTGAAATAGTTATTCAGTAAATTAATTTAACAATATTTTATAAGTTACCTACCAGGCTTACAGAAAGCCAAGTATTTTATAAAAACCTCATGTATTTGATATGTTTTGGATATTCCACATATGCTAGTGAACATTTTTATTCTTACAAAATGTCTTAGATGAAACATTAATTTCCTTGATTTCAGGAGCTGATGCTGTGGAGGCCCAGTGTAAGAGATTTGAAGTGAGAGCAAGTGAAGGTGGAAAAGTATTGTTTTCTGCAGATGAAAATGAGATTGTCATTGGGGCTGACAGACTGAAAGTAACAGGTACAGTAATAATAAGGTTTCTATATGGATGTAAACTCTTGGGGGTTTTGGGTTTGTGTTTGTTTTCGTTTGGTTTTTGTTTTTTAATACTTTTAGTAATAATTAATCTATCAGTCTTCTACAACATTTTCATCCACTAGAGAGGAGAAAGTCTTAGCAGCAGCAACAACTTCTTGACCAACCAAAAAGATATTGCTTAATCTAAAAATCAATTCTTCTAGAGGCAGATTTGAATTTAAACTCTTCAGGACCAGCTATGGTACAAATCACCCTTATCTCAGTAATTTGGCTTGTATATGTTATCATTAATCATTCTTTTGTGGTACCTATGCCATTTGTATAGGTAATGCCCCTTCACATTAATAAAAACTATTGTTCTATACTATGACCTTAGTTTTTTCTGCATAAAGTATCAAGTCTAACTTCCATGTGAATTAAGGGTATGTACTCTGCTTTACTTTAGGAGGCTCAGCTGAAGTGTAGTAAGTAGAAACACTGTCTTGACTTGAAAATTTATTCAGTAAAGTAAGAAAAATCATTCTAATTGAGATTTTACTGTCATCATTGTGTGTGTGTGTGTGTATCTATATATCAGTAACTCATTTAATATTAGAAATATACTATCTTATTAAAAAAAAAAAAAAAAAAAAGAAAAAGGCTACCTAAATTTGTTTTAGATAAATGCTTTAACTTTACATAATAATATCTTATCTGAGCTTGGGTTGGACTTGAGCTATCCACTCATATTCTAAAATAAGACACAAAACTTTAATTTATTCACCAGTCAGGGGTGTTTAGCTTTAGTTCAGTCTGTACCTGGGGATGCCAGGTTTGTAATCAACCTTCTAGTTTGAAAGTTCAGTTGTGTAGAAAGTATAAGATGGTTCTGGTTTATGATGATTATGATAAGATATCCCTTTCTGGTCTATAGAACTAAGAGATGCATTATTAGCAACTTCAAGCCTTTTTTAAAAATAGTAGGGAGTTCTACTTCTGTGTAATACCAGATAGAGCATTAAAATAGATCCAGGAAGTCCAGAATCAAGATATGACTGAACTTTCTTATAAGCCTCAAGATTGTCACTTAATAGTATATGTGGGTTAACTTTTCTTCCCTTTTCATTCCTATCTGACCTCTATCTTCTCTAGCCAAGCAATCTGTTTTAAAGCTGCTAAACCAAAAGAAAAGGCTTTTACAAGCAGGCAGTTTAGTGATGTTGCAGTATCCAATATAATACACTAAATTGTATCGGTTTACCAAATTTGGGGTTAGGAGAGGGAGACATCAGTGTTTTGTTGAGTCAGCAGTTATTCTTCATAGCTGGTAGCTGTTCAAGAATTTTAACATAGTAAAACCTAAGGCATTAAATGAAATGACAAAAGAAGAAAAAAGAGAATCGTATTGACTCTTCCTAAGTTTCAAATTTGATCAGAATATTAAATACTGAGAAAGTTAAAGATACAATCAACACAGAACATTTCAAAGCATGTATCATAAGTTAAAAATTAAAACATTTTACAAATGGCAATGAGGATTAGATTTACTGCCATCTATAAATGTAATCATAAGTTGTAGATGTCATGTTAATTTTTTAATCAAACCTCAAAAGCAAAGAACTGCTCAACTGTCTTTAACTTCAAAGTGGCTTGAGTTCCCATAGCACCTGTTGACATCAGTGGTACCGAAAGCAGAACAACAAATGAAAAGTTATTCAACAATGCTTAGCATAGGATATAGGGTTGTTCCCTGTGAAAAGAACAGGCTTTTTTCCTTAATTCTAGAAATACACCTGACTGTATGTGTATTTATATTAAGCTCCTTGTCCAAATTAAAAAATAAATAAAAAAGTAAAGACTAGGAAAATTTTGCTATATTCATCTGAGTTTCAGGGATTACTGTACACCTGTTGAGCCCTAACAGAGAATCTCATTTCTAGGGTTGTTTGTACAAGTAATTGATTTTCCTTCTGTGGCTAAAATGAAAAATAAACAAGTTAGGATTTAATTTTCAAAGGAATTATTTCATAAATTATTTCATTAAACTCAAAAAAATTATTTTAAAGTTAAAACAATAAAAACATTGACTTTAATTCCTTGCACATGCACACACACACAAAATTTAGGCATTATTTAAATATCACAAAGAAAATACGTATATTGAAGGATTTATTAGGTTCCAAGTATTGTCATTTAGGTCACGAAGTTAAATACAAATTATGTTCAGTTAAATAGCCTAGTGTCCAATATTTTGGGCAGTTTCTCTAGAAAAGGTATTTTGTAATTGTAACTGAAAGAGTAATTTACTTTTAGAAATAACTTGAAAATTATTGTAGTCTTTTTCAAAAGTAATTAAATGAAGTTGGGATCATTCTTTCTAATCTTTGGGTAATCGTCTTGTCTTCAAATCAGATTTCATTAGTAAACTATCTTATCATGAGGCTATAAAAGGCTAGTGTGAAAATTTTAGGCTTTAAATCCCTAAGGCCCACTTTAGGTTAACCCTTCCATCATCATGATACAGAAGAACAATATTATCCCATAGAATGAATGGAAAAGTATTAGATTTCTAAATGAATGAGTATGTCTGAAAGGCTTAGAGAGAATAACCTCATATCCCAATTTCTGTATCCTAAGAAGGCTTCTTGCAGCATAAATACTAATCTGCAGCCAAATAATAAGGCTGTAATGCGACATCTATGCTTTACTGTTGACTAATCTAAAGCTGAAAATATTTAACATAGATTTCCCAATGAACACTAGAAGTTGTATGATCCATGCAATTTCAAGGAAAGTATTTTTTAAAAAAATCCCCAAGGGGTAAAAAAATAAATTCTATCATCATGGAAAAATAAAATAGCGAAATCTTTCTTTCATATAGTATCTCTGAATTCTGTCCAAGATTCTGTGATACCTTTAAATTCTTCAGCAAACACATGAAAGGTGATGAGTCCCTGTGAGTTGCATCAATCAGACTGCATTAAGCTATATAGCATGATACGACTGATGAAACCTGGCAAGGCATCCTAATGTCAAACATCAACCAGAAATATTTTTTTAGTGTATTTCTCTCAAGTGTGTGTTTCGATAATCATGGTGCCTTGGGGTGAATATAGGAAAAGAGTTATGGAAAAACAGAGAAAACAAAAAATTAATATCATAAAGCAAAAAAAAGATGTGTTTATTTGGAGATTAAACTTTCACATGTAGCTATTTCAATGTGGTGCTACAATGAAAACCTGATTTTATTTTCTTGCTTATCTGTGAATAGTGTCTCTTTGGAAACATTTCATTCTGACTGGGCCCAATAAATGATGCATTGTGGTAATTAATTTTCTAAAGCATGCCCATTTTATGAACATTTTTAAACCACTATGGCAATATGGGATTTATTTTATATGATTTTTTATCAATTCAGAAGAATGCTTTTGTAATCAACAGCTTAAAAAAAGCTATCTATCATAAGACAGTGTAAGAAATTTTTGATTAGTAAAAACTTGGAAGATTAAGTTTACAGCTTCTCATTGATTATTTTGTAGCATTTTTATTTGTAAATTTTTACATAGGCAGCCTGTTCCAGGAAGAAAGGTATAGTAGAAACAGGCTAGTAATCCAGATATCAATATATTTTCCATATAAGAAAAATATGGAATCAAGAATACTACTTTGTTTTAGAGATATTGCATTTCCCTATTAAGCGTCTCTCAGTTTAAAAATAGACACCTGGCTGATTTAATTTAGACTTCTTATTCTTCCTTCCATTGTTACTTTTGCTTTTTCTTTTAACTGTGTTAGCTCTTTTCTACTTTATCGTTTGAGGAAAGAAGAAAAAACATTCAACCTTTGCTTTGTTAGACAGAGCTGTTAGAACTGCAGCTGCGTATTGCCGGTTTGCACAGGGATGCTTCCTACTACCAAGTTTAACATCTATCATAGAGCTTTGTAGGGAGGGGAGAGAAAGGCACGATGAAGTAAATATGTTGCCAAAGAGCTGGGAAACAAGCAGGAATAAGGAGCTGAGTTTCTGGTGGGCTCACAGGTTCCTTTCTACATATGGTGAAACCGTTCTCCATCTCTTATATTCACCCTGTCCCCATGAACGGACAGCATCTGTAGCAGCATGGAGTCGTCTTCACTCCTTCTGCAGTTCCAGAGCAGGAGTATCTGTTTGACTTTTACTTCTGTTATTTAAATCTTCATACAGTTTTCTGCCCTGTGCTTCTATCTCATATTTCTGTTAACTGAAATACAATCTCTTTAAGATGTTCTTGTAGCAGAACTTGAAAACACTGCATTGGTCATAGCTATCAGTGAGAGTACAAGCATATATTGTTACTCAAGCTGTATCCTGCCAAAGTACTTTTGAGAAAACGGACTAAGAAGGCCTAGTTCAAGATATATTTTTCTGAGACACTGCTACGAAAGAGCGTTGTAATTCTTTCTATAAAGACTTTCACTGTATATCTCTGTTAATACAGTCTATCTTCCTTTTTTTTTTTTTTTTTTTTTTTTATTAAACCAAACTTGTAGTTAGCAGCTGTATAAGAAGTACTAAGAAATGTGGAGGTCCTCTAGTTATATTCTAAGCAAAGCACCTCCTTTTTTGGACAATGTAACAGGTGTTTTTTCTCCTCTGACTTTTGAGGTGGTTTGCTAAGTTAAGGCTAAAGGCACATTGTCAGAAACTTTTTTTTTCCATTAAACATACAATGTTTTGTCCAAATTATGCAAACGTTTTGTTTTTTTTTGAAAACAGTATTTCTCTCTATGATTTTTTGAAGAAGAGACTGCAATTTAGTTCTCATATTGTCTCCTATGTGTTCTTCTGATCTATATTCTTCACTCAGACTTGGCTATAGTGTTCTTTTAGTTAACCATGATTTTATCTCTGATCCTTCTTGCAAGACCTATAAAAACAATAGCATAACTTGATTTGTTACAGGTTTAAGTACCTTCTTCTAAATCAGTTGTACTTGCACGTGTGGCTTTTTTATTAAACATGT